TTACTTTGTAAAGTGTCCTGAGATGACTTTTGTTGTGAATTGGCGCCATACAAATAAAATTGATTTGATTTGAATTTATTTGATTTCTGTTTTTGCATAAATATTATTAATGCATGTTGCATTTACTGCTATAATTATTTAAGATCCTGCTCATTTTATCTGCTTTATAGGCTTCTGGGTATCTTAATCTGCAGCAATGCACCATTTCCTGCCAGATTATCAGTTTGTATCAGGCCTGTTTTCAGCTTTCTGACAGTACACTATTCCGAGTATGGTTGTTCTGATTCACAATCACAAGATTTGGAGAAATGTGGTTTCCGCTGGACCTAAAGGATATGACGGGCTGTGATCCGCAACGTAACTGAAGGTGTCACACAAATGTAGTGCAAAGAAAAGTGTCAAATCGTCCTTCTAAAATGTGGTGGAGTGGAAGTTTACAGTTGCACAAAATGAAAATATTTTAGTAAATTCCAAGTTCCTTCAATTCATATTTTAGTGCAGTACTTCATTAAATGTACTTAAGTTACTTTCTTCCACTGGTAACAGGCAATGTAGATGAATGTATGCTCACTTAAACTATTAAATTCCATTTTTTTTTATTACATGTCAAACTGAGAGGTGTTTAAGTGGGGAATGCCCGCCGAGACTCATCCAGACTCAGACCTGGTCCCCGTTCATACATCCTCCCGTCCTCCTTTCTGTCCTGCTACCCTTACACAACATTCCTGTCTGGACAGATGATGCAGCAGAGGCAAAGTGATGAGGTGGAAAGAAAAAAGCTGCCATGTAGAAAAAAAAAAGGTTAAAATTCTTTTAGTCACATCCAGATTCTTATGTTCATCTCTTCTTCCTTTTTTCCCAATTCCTCCACATCTTCCTCTTGGTTTTCTCTCCTCTCCTTAAACAATCCAAAATCTGTTAAGACTTTCATTTAGGCGACAAAGAATTACTACACAGAGCAGGTAAAATTAATGATTTTCTCTTCTGCCTGGCGTCTGAGATCATTTAATAAAAAGCAGCAGATGGCTGCACCGCACAGATCCTGTAAGACCGAGCTGTGTATTAAGCCTCTGCTCCACAGAGTGAGTCTGGGATTAAGAAGCTCTCCATTTTAAATGTGTCGTAGTACTCAGCTCTACAAAAGAACATGGAGTGTTTACATGGCAGGTAAATGATTTCCTGCCTCTTTAGAGCTAAAACAACAACTCACAATTTAGAATTTTCTAGAAATATTTTTATTTTAGATTTTACAGCATGTCCACTGTAGTGGACAACAGAACGATTTTACGGTAAAAACACAGCAACACTGAAATCAAAAAAGGCTCACAAGAATACTAGAATTTCAGTCAATTTTCTAATGAAATTTTCTAAATTAAATTGAACATTTGGCCTGTATCTTTTCTGCTGAACAGAATTTCTGTATTATATCATTCTCGCGGCCTTCTTTTAAGACTAAAGACTGTCATCACTGTATTTTTCATTGTTCTCTTCATTGTTCTCCTCTTCCTCTTCCTCTTTCTTTTCTTCATTCATTAAATTCTTATCTATGGTACTCCAAGAAGCAATTTCTCTTCTTTGTAATGCAGAGGAACATTTTGCAACTGAGGCATCGCATGTATGTTTTGCCCTTGCAACCATGGTTTCGGCACCGCTCTGCATGGTTGCAGTCTACCATCTCTGGCATGTGCCTGGCCCCATATTTTCTTAATGATTCTTCTGGTTGCGGAATCCTCTTTTTGATGGTTGGCTCATACTCTTCTTCGCTCTCCTCACTGTCGTCTACTCTCTTGTCAGTGGCATAAGGTTCTAGATAGTTCAGCAGCAAATTTGCCAAATGTAGTTTGAAGTCCAGGAACTGTTCAGTGTTTTTTGCTGATCGGTTAAGCACTATGCTGTCAGATTTGTACTGGATCCAGGAATTTGTGATGGCAACAAGCAAGCAAGAAATGAGCAATCACACGCATGGTCCATTTCTTGGTTCTGCTTGCCATGTGATAGAAGCTCAGCATGCGGTCACAGAGGTCCACACCACCCATGTTGTCATTGTACTCCCTAATGACTGCTGGTCTTCTCACCTGGACCTGGACTTTGTCTTTGTTCGACCATCTGGTGCAGACATCTTCAGGATCTTTCCCATGTGCAGTAGAAGCTATCAGCACTGGCTTGTTGTCATACCATTTTGTGATCGCCAACTCAGGACTTCTCCTGAGTACCATCACTGATGCTCCCCTCCCTTCTCTTTTCAGTTGTTTGTCATCAGGCAACCGACACAGCTTTGGGACACGGTTTTTTGTTATTGGGCCAGTTGCTGGAAGACCCTTGGCCAGAAATTCATCGGTGAAGTTAATTGAGGTGAAGTAGCGATCAAAATACAGGTGACTTCCTATGGGAACAGTTTCAACCATGCGCACCACTGCTGCTGCCCCAATTCCATCCTTTGACCAGCAAATGTATCCTTCCCTTGATATACTTCAAAGTCCAGCATCAGACCATCTGGAGAAGCAAGTA